TTCTCTTGTATATTTCTGTACATCTTTGTGTTTAAAAATTGTGTTCATTATTATTAAATTATTTTCTCTGCATATATCGATAATACATTCCCCATTGTCATTTTTTTATTTCTTTTCCCTATGGTCCTAATTCATCTTGGGTATGTTCATTTCTTATACCCACTCGACCATTTAGATCCCCTAGTACTATAGTATTGCCTTTTTCTTCTTCTGCTAGTGCCTATCCTCTATGGATGTTGGTTACCACAATGGCTAAGACAATGCATTCCCAATCTTGAATGTTCTTTATTAGGTTACTGTGTATCAGGCAGCCTACCCCTTCTTTTGCCCTTTCGCCAAGTGACACTCCGCTGGTGATGAGAAAGTGTCCTATTTTCTAATAATTGTGTGTTTTTCCCTTCTTTTTGATCTCTGTTATACCCAGTAAGTCTATTTGATTTTTCTCAAATTCTTCAGCAAGTTAGACTTCTTTGGCGTTGAGACCTGTGACATTCCATGTTGCCAATGTCCATCCTTTTTACTATAGCACTGCTCCGTTATTGTAGGCCGTGTCATTAAGCTCTTTCTTGTTTAATGTAGGTTTTAAATAGTTATTGTTTATATTCTCGCTCGTTGCTGACTGCATTTTTATAGATTTACCCTTTCTTGTCTCTCAATTTTCTTCAAATTCACTCGTAATTTTTATTGTTTTGTAATCCGTTTCGATATTACACTATTTTCTTTTGTATATTACACTGTTTTCTTCTAATTAAATAAACTATGCTAAGGAATCAAGCAGTAAAGGACATTTTTTGTTTTAAAAAGGAAATATGTTCAAAAAGACTTCCAATGAATTTTTATTTTCGGAAATTTATAGGATGGCCACTGTTTTTCTTGATCGGTCAGTGTATATCAATTTTATATATAAGTGAATAGTCAGTTTTGTACAAATATCAAATTATTGAATTTACCTAATATGTATATGCGTACAGTAATTCCTAGAATTCGATATATAATATGAATATATTCATCCCATACACAAACATAAACGGAGTTATGATTCAAATCCCGGAGGATATACGCTGATAATAAATTAATTATAACAACCTAAATAATCACTGGCATAGAACGTATAGATAAGGCCTGAAATATGAAGTCCTGATGGATTTATATTCTAGTCACATCATACCACTTTTAGTTTATGAAATACATATAGCAAACTTTTGTCTCAAATGCACATCTGTAATTTTCAGTAGTAATTTTTTTACATCCTACATGCCTATATTCTTTGTTGTATTAACATCCCATTGAGTATTAATATTAATTAAACTTAATAAATTATATATTATCTGTTCATAAATTGTTGATAGCACGAAATATGCCTCAAAGTCATAAAACGGTCGTTAAATTTGTATCATCATAGGCGTTCCTGAGGTGTTTATTCATTAAAATTAATATTAATATTAATAATGTTTTAATACTAATATATTTAGCAAAAAACAATTAAAACTTTCACGGCTAGTGTTGGTTATTATATTATATTAATAAAAATAAGAATTTAACCATTAACAATTTTGTAAATAAGAATACCTTATCTCTTTGGATATTTCAATACTACTCTTCGCGTTTAATCACTTTACTAGAAAACCTGGAATTTATATCGGAAGGTACTATTCGTTGCAAGATAATTAGGATGGAATTCTCCAGATTTTTAATAATATAATGGGTATAGATGCTTTGGCCACGTGCCTCGTCTGTTCAGTTTATATTCGAAACCTAACTTGAAAGGGTGAAAATATTACGAACAAAAACAATTTTTTTTGTTTAGTACGTTTTTGATCGCATGTAATTTACGGCTCGTCGGTGTTTCCGCGTCTACCGCAGTAATTAGCGTCTCGAATATTTCTTTTGCGAATTATATGCAGTGCGTGAGTGATTTTTTATTCCATATACCTACGAACATATACGTACCTTTCGCTCGTGCTCATTTTGTTGGATTGTTTGTGATGGCTTCATCATCAACATCATCAAGTTTTACGCCTGTACTGTTGCGTACAGTCAGTAAGTATGTCTATTCACCAAGAGAGAAGACTATTGTCCTGAATGTTCACGATGCTCTGGTTTCTCAGAATCCCACAAACACTGTTTGCAACATAGTAGAAAGTTGTGCCAACATGACTGGCGTAGGGGAGTCAACTATATATAGGTTCCTATCAAAAAGAAAAAAACACGGTATAGCTAACCCAAGCACAAACGAACACTTAGAGGGAAAAAGCCTATTGGAATTGATGAATTTGCCAAAAATTGTATTCGAAGGAAAATTCATGGATTTTTGTTTCAGAAAAGAAATACCAAACCTAAACAAAATTTTACAAGTTAGAGACGATCCGGATTTGCCTCTTATCGGACGAACTAAATTGTGGCAAGTTTTAAAAGAATTAAATTTCCGGTGGGAGAAATCAGACCGAAAATCACTTTTGATTGACCGGGAGGAGATACGTGGGTAAACTAAGGTCATACTATAAAAAAAATTTGGTCAGATAAAAATATATTAAGCTTTAGGCAAGTCTTAAATGCAGTAGATTAATAATTTCTCACATTGGTACAGAAAAAGGATTTGTTAAGCATGGTTTGTTGGAATCTCAGTCCAAAAGCACAGAAGACTATCACGAGGAAATGACAGCTGATGTTTTCGAAGAGTATTTTGAGCAGATGATTGAACACATACCACCAAATTCACAGAACTTTTAAAAATTGCCCGGCAACACAAATCTAAGTTCAAGAAATACGTAGTTGACAAAATGGCGGAAAGGCGAAACATCACAGTTCTTAGACTTCCACCCTACCACTGCGAAATAAATCCAATTGAACTCATTTGGGCACAAATGAAAAGTTATGTGGCTAGAAAAAATACGTCATATAAAATACAAGCTGTACGTGAATTGTTATACGAGTCTTTACAACATATTACAGAACAAAACTGAAAAGATGCAGTAAGACATGTAATAGAAAAAAAATAACATAATTGATGCGACCGTAGAGACAGAACCGCTAATTATTAACCCTCAAGACCTTATTTTGAATTTGAATAGTTTTCTTATCGTAATTATATATAAAGATAAGTAATAGTAGTTGTAATCGTAAGGTATTACTGTCAAAATGTTCAATGTGTTTTAAATGTCCTCTTTTTTTCAAATCCTGAGAAAACTAGAAAAGCATTTTTGAAAAACTTAAAGGCAGAATGAAATATTTGTTAGAATAAATAAAACGTTTTTCAGGGTTGTTCCAGAAGTTTTCAGGGACTTCCTGCCTTCAGTAATAATGTAATCTTTCATTCTGCGTTTAAATGTTTCAAAAATGTTTATTAGTTTTCACCGGATTCGAAAAAAATGGATACATTTAAAACACATTGAAATTTTTGCCAGGCGACATTTGTCGCCTTTCCCTTTAATTAAATAAATGTATCTTTTACAAATGGCAAGAAACTTTTTATTTTTGAATAAAATAAAGAAGTTTTATTAAAACAAAAATACAATTTAAAAAATATATTTAGTTAGTTCAAATAAATGTTTCAATCATATACTCTACGACACTGGTCGGCCAAAATGCCTTCGTAATCGGATTATAAGGTTGACCGCTGTATTGAATTACTGCAGATACAAGGTGGGTTAGTCGAAAACATCTTAAACCGTCAGTTTCAGGTTGGTTTTTACTATTATATCGTATTACCTATCCTCTCTGTATTTCAGTTCTCTAATTAGGATTAAACTTGTAGTGAGCTATCAACAAATTGTGAACCGAGTATAGGTATATGTTATGCTCCGATTTTTTGAACTAATATTTTTTTGGTTTGGTTTTGGTTTGATATGGAGTAGTAACTATACCGTACTGAGGAGATCTAAAGAGATCGAAATACGTATATGCGGCTTGTAGCTGCTCTGTATCTAATCAAAATATAATACCGTCATTTTGTTTTGTTTATTTACTTCATTTGGAGTACCAGAAATGGAATTCACTACGAATATAGGCCATGATGAACGGCATTTGGAGTGCAATTTTTAGACTCCCTTGCCGATGCATTCATCAAGCTGTTTGCTTCGCAAGTTTTAGGGGCACAGCGGCTTATATTTGAATTCGATTTCGCCAAGTAGAAATCGTATGATTTCTCTTTTTGTTAATATTTTTTTAATTAATGTGTATTGATTAAATATATTATTGACTCATGTACATTATATTATAATAGACTTTCAACCTCTCAACGAAAGATTATGCACACTAAGAATAAATATTCAATAATAAATGCCCATGCACCAACTGAGGAGAAGCCGGATGAAGAAAAAGAACAATTTTATGAAAAACTGGAAAATATCATACAACATTGTCCTAGATATGACGTAAAGGTCTTAATAGGAGATTTTAATGCAAAGATGGGTAAGGAGAGGGAATGCATGCCATCCATTGTAATTCACAGTTTACATGAAGAGTCAAACAACAACGGAACTCCACTAATATACTCACCCTCCTCAATGAACATGGTGATTGCTAGAACATGCTTCAGGCACAAAGATATACATAAGAGAACATGGAGAAGTCCAGATGGGAATACAGTAAATCAAATCGACCATGTTGTGGTTGACGCAAGATACTTTAGCGACGTAATAGACGTACGTGCAAGACGTAGGGCGAACATAGACTCGAACCATTACCTACTACAAGCTAAACTAAGAGCTAGAATCTCCAATCCAAAGAAAGAAAAATGAGTTAAAGAGAAAAGGTTTAAAACAGAAGCATTGAAGAACCCTGAGATAGCTAAGAGATTCGAGGAATGTCTCGAAAGGAAGCTACAAGGCTGCACGGATGTTATAGTTGAAGATATTAATAACTATTGGAGGTAGTGTAGAGCCATATTGGAAAAAGTGGCAACTGAAGTTATCGGAAAGCAAAAACTTAACAAATATAGCAATGCTTTTATCTGTCTTTAAACCCATGAAATCGTAAGCTTCCTACATCTCCCTAACTCTGAAAATCAAGCAAACTTTAAATCTTAGTACAGTTTTGAAATATTATTATTTAGCTTTTTATTATTCTGAAACTACTGTTTCTAAATAAATTTTTAACAAGCATTTTTCTTACAGATAAAATCCTTTGAAAAACTGGAATGTCACGAGGAAAGATTGAAGTATGCAAAGGACATTTACGATAATTTTATTATGAAAGAACTTCTGTCTCGGACACATGTAAGTATACATTTTTAATAGTAGATAATTATTAACCATAAGCTTTGAATCTATATCAATAGTAATACAATTTTACAATTTATAATGTCTTCATTTTTATTCCCATTATTGGCCATTCTATGACCCGAAAACAACCGTCTTAGTAGGTAGATATATTCCTGGATTTGTTCTATCTCACTGCCGTTTATAGTTATATGTCTGTGGTCATCTGTGTTTTGTCATTATTTTTGCTTTTTTCATATTCATTTTTAGGCCGACATATTGGGAGCTGGCTGCTAGTTCTCCTAATATAATTTGCAGTTCCTCGAATGTGCTCGCTATAATCACTACGTCGTCAGCGAATCTGAGGTGGTTTAACTTGTTGCCATTAACGTTAATGTCATAGGTTGACCAATTTGTAGTTTTGAAGACGTCTTCTAGGGCTAGGTTGAAAAGCTTTGGCGATATTACGCCTCCTTGTCTCACTCCTCTCTTAATGGGGATAGGATTTGTATTTTCGTCTAGTTGTACTATCATAGTTGCATTTTCATATATATTATGTATTAGTTGCCTATATCTCGAATCTATTCTATAATTATTAATAGCTTGTTCTATGGCCTACATCTCGATACTATCAAACGCCTTTTCATAGTCGACGAAGGCAAGAAATACGGGTAGTTGGTATTCATTTGCCTTCTCTATCAATGTTCTCATTGTCAGCAGATGGTCTGATGTACTATATTCTTTGTTCTCTGATTTGTTGGTATATATCGGTTTCTTTTAGTTTTCTCAGATTGATTCTCGGTGTTTTGGCAGTTGTTTTTAACTTTTTTAATTTGAGTTTCATGTTTGCTAGAACTAGATTGTGGTCACTTGTTATATCTGCTCTTGTGTACGCTTTAGCCGATATTATGGCATTTCGGAATCTTTAATTTATTATTATGTAATCTATTTGGTTTTTTATTATAATTTCACCATCATCTCTAGGTGCTTTCCATGTATATATTATTCGATTTAATAGTTTATACCACGTGTTTTTAATAATGAGTTCTGATTCAATTAATGAGGAATGTGATCTTTGCAAAACTGAGCTAGTCTTCCACCTCTTTCATTACGTGTACCAGTCCATATTCTCCTACTATTTTTCCATTTATTCCTTTCCCTATCTTCGAGTTAAAGTCACCTAAAATCAAATTTACGTATTTTATAGTTTATTTTTATGAACGAGAGAGTAATTAGCATAACTTTAACTGGTACCTTCGACCACTCCATGGGCCTGCTCAAGATTAATTGAAAAATTACTTTGAATAATTGTAAAAAATAAATAAATTATTTCAGTGTTATAAAGTGTTATGTGTATGTAAACAAAAGTGACCTCTTTTATCACACACTATATTAGAACTGACTGGCCTACATTAAAAAGGGTTTTAAAAAATTCACATTTTTTTTAATTTTTAAAAATTACAAAAGAGAAAAAGAGTTTTTAAAACCGTCTAAGGTATGTTAAATAGATGAATAAAAATATTAATATAAAACTTACAGCTACTTGTTACAAATCCAAATCAGATTCAGAAGATGAACTTTCAGAACCAAGATTTATAATAACTGGCTTGATCATTTTATCAGTAATATTGTCCAGCTTCCACATTTTTTCCTCTTCTTTAATAGTGTGATTTACTGCCTTTTCCCAGTTTTCAGGTTTTACATTATTTACGGCCTCCAAAAACAACTGTTTAACATCATGAATTTTAAAAGTGGTATTTTTTCTTGAAACTTCACTCTTTATCTGTGCCCATACCAGTTCAATAGGGTTTAATTCACAATGATATGGTGGGGATCTAAGGACTGTCATTCCACGATTTTTGGCAATTTCATCAATTTCGTATTTTTTAAATTTTTCTTTATGAAGGGCACACAACGAATAAAGTTCCTTTCTTATAGATCCGGGATGGTACGTAATATTTTTTGAACTCAGCCAATTCTGCAAGTCTTTTTTTAACCACTTGGTTGTGGGCAGTCCTTCTATAAGTCTGGAGTGATAACTTGCATTATCCATTACTATTACACAGTTCTTAGAAAGAAGATCTATCATTTGTTCGAACCATTCTTGAAAGACATCAGCGTTCATGTCTTCATGGTAGTCGCCGGTACGAGTTGATTCAAAAGTTAATAAACCACCTTCAACAAAACCGTTTGAACTGCCAATGTGTACTATTATCAGCCTGCGTCCCTTTCCTGATGGTAGGTTTAAACCAGTAGATAAGTTATTTACAAAAGCGTGCCTTTGACTTGTAACAGTTTCATCCTGCCAAAATTTATTTGGTGTATGACCCTCGTTGATCCATGTTTCATCAAGATAAAATATTTTTCTTTTTTGGTTTCTCATTTCCTTTATGGTTCTTAGAAAATGTCTTCTCCATATGACAATATCGCTTCTTTCTAATAAAATAGACTTTCTGGGATTCTTTTTCCAGCGGAAGCCTATTTCTTTTAAAAGTTTCCATAACGTACTTCGACTCATTTCTGGGTAATCCTTATCATCTCGAACTGAAACAAGAACTTTATCCAATGTTGGAAATTCTTGTCTAAAGAAGAATTCATGCACTTTCCGTCGAAGTCCTTCTTTAAAATGATATTCTATTTGAAATTTTGGTTTCCCTGGAGCATTACGTGGCATTTGAAAACTACCACATTTCTCTTCTTTAATAACTCTGTAAATCGTAGATTTCCCAACACCAAGTGTACTGCTAACTAACTCAACGGTCTCATCAACACTTTCACATAAACGTGTGTCTGTAAATGATTTAAAACAATTAAATATTAATGTTTTTTCATTAACTGTTAAAGGACCAATTTTTCGGCGTTTGCACGGCACTTCCAAATTTTCCATAACACTAGTATACACAATAAACTGCACCTTGCAACTGAAGTACCTACTTTTAGTGAACTGTTAAGAATTTTGAATACGCCACTTGGACCTTCCTACAAAATGGAAAAACCCACTATCACATTTTCTGTGGAATAAGTTTAGAAGGTAATTATCTAGTCAATTACTGTCGTAGATTCCTGGAATTAAAGAATTAAATGTTTGATTGTTGAAACCCTTACTTCGTGGAATGCACTCATTTCAGATAAAATAAAACGTTTTATTTTATCTAAAGAATTAAACTTTATTTTGCAAATAGGTAGGTACTTATTAAACTTTTATTGGTTATATATAACCAATAAAATAAACATCTTACATTTCTTGCAAATTCATTAGTACCTATTAACCTCCATCACTCCGACACTGGCAACCTTATTTAGGGATTAGTAACCCTCACAACTATTGTATTCTATTCTGCTCCAACCTTTATACCTGGTGGTCATACTCAATTTAAAATTGTTTTCCTATATACTTTTGTAAACTTGTTGATAAATATCTGTTTTTCATTGAGTCACCCGTATCAACAGTTTAGGGATTTGCATACATAATTTATTGTTTTATTTTTCTCTCATACATAAAAATACACTATAGTTGGCGAAAACCCTTAATAGTTGTACACATTTTTGAAAGGACACAAAAATGCATCGTCCCAAAACTAATTTGATAAGTTTGATAAATTTTAAATTTATTAAAAATCGTCTTTTTTTTATTAAGGAAATTTTTATTCTCCATTAGAAAAATTGGAATATGATTTAAAATAACGGAAAATTGTGTATTCCGTAATCGAAAAATACATTAAATTAACATTTTCATAACGAAGAAATAACTTTTTATAAGCATTTAAAATTGTAATGGTTTGTGAACGACTTTTCGCATAAAGTTCTAGAGGGATCTTAAAAGTAGCATTCGTCCCCTACGGATAATAAAATGTACAATTCTGGTAGTTTAGCAATTCTATAAAGTGTTACTCGTATATAAAACCCGTTTCGTGTTGAAGTCGGAAATTTAAAATTGAGAAAGAAAGACGACCGTCCTTAAGATCTCTAAAGGGTTTTTCTCGGCGGTCACGACCGTTTTATTGCCCTTCCTTCATGTGGAAAATATACGCTTCGTCTGATAATAAGACAAAAACTCCAAATCGTAACCGGAAACATCACTCCGGGGAAGTGTTTAAAAACTCCCACCTCATCGATTTGCCATAAAGTTTTACATTGCAAGTTTATAGTTTATGAGAGTTTTTTAGACTTTTTTTAGATTTTAAATTCACTTTTTATTCAGCGAACTGTAGATAATGGGACGAATCCGAAACATTTTCACCCAGAAACGCATTTATGGTTTTTATTACCACTCAAATGTATTAAAATGGTTCTTTTTCAGTCAGGGATATTTTTCCCGATGATCTTTTATAATGTATTTCAGCTAGATTTTGGTTGGAATTACCTGATTCTGAGTGGCAAGTAGAAATCACTTTTGAAACATCTTTCTTGATGAACTTTGAAAATAAGGCTATTATCGAGCACAAGTTAATTAAATCTAGCCCAAGTACTTTCGCTTAAAATAGCATCTTCAGGGGCATCTGAAATAAGCCAAGAAAACGTTTTTTAGATGAAGTAAATTAGTTAACTTCGATAAAAAACTCGAAGTTAATGGATGAAAAAAAAAGGGTTTTTGTGATTAACGTTTTAGACTTACTTCGTCAAAATGTGAACTATCCGGCAAGCGTAGAATGTGGAAACATTAAAAATAACATAAATTGTACAAAACACTACACTAAAACGAGGACAAACAGTTTAAAATTACTTCTACGCTACATTCTCTGTCAGTATCTGGAGGTATAATGATCTAAGCGGAAATGATACGGTGACATGTGACATATGACAACTTTGATAGGCAGTCAAAGTTATGGATCTGTGATCAGCAAATATTAAAATTCTGTATAAGTTGTCATTGGCCAAAGGTCCAACTAGAACTACTACTGAAAAAATCAGCTGATGAAGTATGACATATAGAATATTTTGATTTAAACTAGATTGCATAATCCATATCTCACACTCACACCCGTCTGTAATAATAAGGTTGTAGGTTTGAGGCTAAA